CATAAATAATCTGTTTTTGATTTTAGTGTTGAATGTAAAGAGTAAAATAACATTCTTTTTCAAATCATGGTTTTTTGTCATGAACAGTGAACCTATGACTGTTTTATTCATTTCTTTCTCAATTTTCAATCGCTGAAAGTATTTTTATTTCTTGTGAAACGACAGCTCATTCAATTCTCGTACAAGTATCTTAAATGTTTAGATATATAAAGTAATCGTTATAAATTCTCGGCTAATCATTTGAATTGAGTTTTTATCTTTCCTTTATATCACTTCTCATAAAATCGGAGCATTTAGCTGAATAACATTCAAAGAATAAGTTTCAATGATCCTTTTAGTTAATATACACTTTCGTATACCCTTCAGTCGTTTTTAATATGTCCACAATCGTCTATATTCTCTGTTGGTGTACTCTTAAACAGATTGCTGGGATGATTCAACTTCTTGATAAATCATTATTTCTATTTATAAACGTTAGTATATTCTCTATTGTGCGTTATGCTCATGTATAGTCTCGGCAAGTATCATTTTAGAAAATGTTGTTCAGAACAGAACGGATAGCGTGTATTATTATGTGATTTTTTTTAAATAGTGTTGGATAACTTCAACTGGTAGTTTGATTCATCTGTCATGGACACGATGTTGGAATATCCAATAATTTATCAAAGTGTTTGTTTTGCATGCATTTTGTTTGGTACATACATTCTATGGAAAACTTGGAGCAAGAGCAAAACACAGAAAAATGACAAGGAAGAAATAGCTGAAATTGGGGATGAAAATATAATTAAACAAGGTTTTCGAATGAATGCTGTACCAGAGAATGTTGACATCATAGTAATAGGTTCTGGTATAGCTGGACTTACTGTAGCTTCCATAATGGCACAAGAAGGCAAAAAAGTCTTATTACTTGAACAGCATGATGTTATTGGTGGTAATACTCATACTTTTAAAGAAAAGGGTTTTGACTTTGAAACTGGTTTGCATTACATTGGTGGTAGAATTGGTAAGAAGACATCGAATTTAAGAAAACATTTTGATTGTATAACGAAAAATGGAGTTGAATGGGAAAAGATGGATGATGTATATGATCTTGTAATTATTCGTGATGGGGAGAATTGTGAACAATATCCGATGCATTCTGATGTTAAGATTCTTAAGAAGACACTGATTTCTTCATTTTTTGAGGAAGAAAAAGCGATTCACGAATATTTCAATATGATTAAGAAGGCTCGTATTGGTATAACAATCTTATTCTTACTAAAATGCATACCATATCCATGGATTCAGAAGATAATTCATAAACTTGTTCAACCTTTTCTTTTAATATTTGATGAAACAACAGAACAAGTTCTATCTAAATTAACTAATAACAAAAAACTTATTGGAATTTTGACATATTTATATGGCGATTATCTTGAAGTTCCATCAAGATCATCGTTTGGAATACAAGCATTAGTATCTGATCATTATATGGGTGGTGGATACTTTCCAATTGGAGGTCCATCAATGATCGCACGTACCGTTGTTCCAATCATTGAAAAATCTAAAGGAAAAGCGTTCGTTCGTGCTCCAGTTTCATCAATTCTTATAAATGAAGAGAATAAAGCTATTGGAGTTGTAGTAAAAGGTCATCACATCTTTTCAAGAATTGTTGTTAGTGCTATCAGTTCAACAATAACCTACAAGTACCTTATACCTCAAACTCATCAACATTTGGTTCAATCTCACTTGAAGATTATAGAAAGTCCTGAACTTGCCTCGGACACTTGTTATATGTCAATGTTCGTTGGTCTTCAAGGTGATTCCGATGAACTTAATTTACCGAAGAGAAATTTATGGATATTTCCATCATGGAATCATGATGAAAATATGAAGAAATTTCGTAATGATTACAGTGAAGATTTTCCAGGTATTTTCATATCTTTTTCATCTGCAAAGGATCCAACATATCACACAACATACCCTAAGAAGAGTGTTGCATCTATTATTACTCTTGGCTTTTATGAACATGTTGAAGATTACAAAGACAAACGTGTAAAACATCGTGGTGACGCTTATAATCAACTGAAAGATCAATGGAAAGAAAGAATGTTAGAAATATTTTTGAAAGAATTTCCGGATTTAAAAGACAAAATAGTTTATGTTGATAATGGTACCGCAATTACGAATGATTTTTATCTTGGAACTTATCATGGCGCTGCTTGTGGACTGGCCCATACACCAGAGCGATTTAGACAAGTGGAAATTCTTTCACCAACATCACCAATCAAGAATCTTTATCTCTCAGGACAGGATATGCTCACCTGTGGAGTATCGGCCGGTCTTATGAGTGGATTTATGACATCATATGCTATTGCTCCTAGCTTGATATTTAAGTACCCAAAGCGCAACTAATTGTGTTCCATTCATGCAACAAAACTACATTATGTTTCTATGGATTTTTTTTTAGAAATTAGATTCAAATGAAGCAAAAACGTGAGCGAAATTATAATGAACTTCATAATAACTTATCATTTCATTGAAATTTATACTCTGATATATACTAAAAAATCAAAATAAATTAATTATTAATCCTATGAATGTAATCCTTGTGAATATTATCGTTTGATAAGTAAATCGAACATTGAATGAATAAATATTTCATAAATTGAGATTGGTTCAATGTCATTTTCGAATAATTCAAATAGCTTCGTGCGATATTCATTGATTCGAAGAAATTTTCGTTGAAGTAGATAACTAAATTAGTATTGAGATTGATTGAGTCAGAAAATAAAACACATAGTTCGAAATAAGGTAACATTTTCTTTAACAGACTATTTTC